AAATCTACTAGGGTTTCTTGATCATGAGGCCAAATAACAAATGTATCATCGACGTAGCTTTTCCATAATTTTGGTTTTAGATGAAAGGTATCGAGGGCTTTCTGCTCAAAGGCTTCCATATATATATTCGCGATGACTGGTGATAGTGGAGAACCCATAGCTGTTCTCGACGTTTGTTCAAAAATTTGACCGTTATAAGAAAAATATGTTCCCGATAAGGAACTTTGGTAAAGAGGGATTTTACGTCTAAACTAACTAGAATATCTTGTTTATCTAATGTAATGCTTTTTAATTGTTCAATGAAGTGAAAGGAATTAAGTACGAAACTGTCAGTTTTCCCTGTAAGGGGTTTTAATAAGGAAGCTAGATATTTTGAATATGTCGGAGAACCAATGCTGCTGACAGTAGGTTCAAGGGATAATCCTGGTTTGTGAATCTTTGGAAGTCCGTAAAGACGAGGAATTTTAGAGTTGTGCGGGGTAACAGATTTTTTCACGGAGTCTGATAGAGAAGAAGCCTTAATAACAGATTTAAGGTTGCGATCCATAGATGGCGTAGGATCTTTTTTAAGTCTGTAAGAATATCTTCAATCTTTTCCTCATATTCATTTGTATTCATGACTACCGTAGCATTTCCTTTATCTGCTTTTAGGATCACGATTTCTGCATTGGATTTTAGAGATTTTAGGGCGATGCAACTAATTTTTCAGTTTCCGAAAGTTGGTGCGATGATACATTTATTACAGTGTTTGGTAGTTTATAAGAGTTTGATGGTTTTCCTAATCAATAAAATCATTTGATTATCTCTATGTAATGCCTAAATCTTCATTTAAAATGTGACAAACACGTTCTTCGAACATTTCCATAACCTGCTTTAATTCGACGGTCCATTATCACCATTTGATATAGCAATATTTTCGTCGGTAGTTTCAGTTTTTAGACGTCCCGAACCTTCATCTCCTAAGCTACAGTAAGAGCTTTAGTAAGTAGTGTCGCCGTCTTCAGGGTGAAGTTTGGAAACTTTCCAAGTTACCCTCGTATTAAATGTCACTCATGTGACATTGAGTAACTGAAGATGCCTATTTCTTATTTAAATCAATTCAGCCAATTTATACATTTCTCAAATTCTACATTATCACGAACATTAATTCGATTTGTATAAATAGATTTTGGAGTCTTAGATTATTTTAGTCGCTACCTTCTATTAGTTTCTAGCAAATGAGAAAACTCCTGTTTGCTTTAATATGGAGGAAAACCTAATCCAAATTTGTTTAGAAGCATCAGACTCAAGTGCATCCTTACTTAGGGCTTCTATCCACTGATCATTTCCGAGATTTCTTCTGCAAATAAATAATGGGAAAACCGCTAGTGTGTTGAAAGAGCTCAAAGGATTTATCAAAGTGCCTCCAATAACCAAAATAATGAATAATGAAGATAGATCGTATTCCAGCGATATCAAATTACAATGGCAAAGTGCACTATCCATTTTATAATTCTGCGGACAGACCGAGTAAACAATAAATAAACTGGACGGAAATTAGGGCAAAATGAGTAGTCCTGCCGCTTCGTGCAAGCGTGACACTCATTTTTCATTTAGAAGTTCTTTTTATCGAAAACAGTAGCGTAGTCACGCTTAATATAACACCTTTTTATTTGAAAGTATGCAGGTAGTGAATTTTACGCTGCAAATTAGGGATTTTTTAAGCATTCTAAGAATAAGAAAAAAATGTAAGAGCCCTTGAATTTTGGCGCCATTAAATAGTGCATTGACGTGATATATTAAACACTTTTAATAATTCTTCAAAAACGTTTGTTTTCTTTAAATCGTCTCTCAGTGGGACCAAAAATAAATTAGAAGAATAAAACAATGAAATACATTGAAAATTAACAATCGGAGCTGTTTGTAGCATGTTTTATTTGAACGGTTATTGCTAGCAATACAATAAGTACGAAACTAAAACTAAATATGAATTAAATTTGTTAAAAATAATGGAAGATGCATAGTTGACAGATATATTTCATTTCAATTTTTATATGCTTCCGTAGGTTAAGAAAATTTGTAATAATGGTGAATTTAACGACCTAATATGTCATTCGAATCGTTGGCTATATATTAGAGGATACAGTAGAGATTCATTAATGGGTTTGGTTAGTTAATTAGACCAACTACCATACCTTCGGTGGTTTATCTGTCTAAACAAAAAAACTACAGGTAGATCTGGATGAATTTCAAAGCACCTTTGCTAAAGAACTTGGCGAATCGTAGTCAAATATGTTGTCAAATATATTGAAATATGCAAAATATATTGCTTTCTTGACTTGCTTTTATGAAATCGGTAGTACTGGTTCGCATTTAATTTAACCTCCAGTCTGAAAAAAAAAAATGTTTCTCATGATTTTGTCGTTGTAGAAATTAAATTTCGATATGCTAGTCTCGTAATATAATGCAGTTTTCCCGATAATTATATTTTATCACACTACAACAGCATACAACTCGTTGGTGAAGATGTTGATCTAATTCAAAATCGATTCCTCAACTTTAGTAATGCCAAATTACCCCCATCAGTCTCTGGTTGTAACCCAACATTTTGTACAGTTACAGCAAACAAAGTAAAATTCTGCAATTAAAGTGTATCTTAAAAGATTGAGGGGCGCCAACGCTCATAAATAGTATTTAATTTAATTTAAATAGGTAAAAGGTTTCTGGGTTGGTGATAACTATGGTACCTGATGCCTGGTTCCCACCAAACGGGCAGGATGAAAACAAAAGACGAATAGTCCAATTAATTAAAAAGTCTATCTCTCTGATTTTCTCTCTTATGTTTGACCGTAAAATGAACAGCAGAAGTAGTGAATTGAATAAGATGCGAGATGAAGATTTATTTCTGCAATGCATTATTTATTGAAAAAGTCAAAATAAACGTCATTACTGGGTAAAATGATATTCGAAAAAAAAATTAACCAAAGCAAAACTAATGTTTAATAAACGGTGCTGGAATGTTACAAACAGATCGAGTTCGTGTTTTTTTTCCAAGTCGTTTAGTCGAATGACAACCCTATTTTTATTAAGTCTCAGGTTCCGGCAACAAACAGCAATTTCTGGAAATTCTCTTATTTTCAGTTTCCATCTGTTACCATGTTGAAAAAATTTTTAGTGCAAAAGATATTGCATAGGAAACTGTGGCTCCAATCAAACACTATATCATTCTTCTCAGATATTTGCATTTATTGCACTTACTTCCCTATTCATTTCCCACTAATCTAGACTATATAAGAGTGGTTACGGACTTTTTTAGCGTTTTGGTTATTCGTATGATTGTAATAAATGACCGTTTGAAAATCTAATTCCAAGTGAGGCAATAAAATTTGTGTTGGCTTTTTAAAACAACTGCGGTCAAATGTGTAAATGGGTGAATTTCGTTAAAATTGTGAAATAAAAAAATATTCATGGTTGTTTGAAGCATTTTAAGATCTTAAAAAAATTCCTTTGGTGAATCATTTGAAAAATTAAGCATGCGTATGAACAGTGCCGTGTTAGGATATACGCACGCCGCTGGCTTCACCACATTTTCATTCGCTTACAATAATACATCATCCTTTCAAAAACACGGTGCGTGTTCCACAGTCAGATTGAATTTGATGGACGCCCTTTACAAGAGGGTTAGATTATGGCTTTTTGTGATAGGTGAGGGAGTTTCTGCTGGAACAAACGATTTGATGAATTCCCTTTTGATCATCGTGGAAATCAAAATTACATTTTTATTGTTCAATGGCTGTAAATCCCAAAAGAACCTTACCCCCGGTTGCTCGCATTTTGCACTTGTGGATTAAATCTGGATTTTTAATTCCCGATTTTGCATCCGCCTTTGAAAAGAGAATATTCGCGTTTAAATTAATTCTTGTGGTGAAAATTGCGCTATTCATTTTTACATTGTTGCGATAAGAGAAATTGCTTAAATTTGGTGTAGATATAACAGTCAAGTCCATGTATTAAAAAGGACATTATATGCCAGAGACCTGACAAGCCCATCATATTCGAAATGGTTGCTACATTTTGCTACTATGCGTAAATATTTTGAGCTATCAGAGGAGACATCAGATGCTTTGGGATTTTTGACATTTGGAATTTGGATGCCGAATTTGGTTGTTTGGTGATTTTGCAATTTTTGCGCCATGAAAAGTGTTTCAGTTCTAAATATTAATGACACAGTAATTTAAAATGTTTGAGGGTGGAATTACCAATTACTGTCGTCTTAACATCAGTTTTCATAGGTATGGTGGTATCACAAACTAATATTGTATTATAAGTTTAAGTTACTTTACGTCCGCGTCCGCAATGGATAGGGCAATGGAAGAAGAAAAAACAAATTTTCTGAAATGTGGTGGTTTTAGGTAGATTTTAAGGTATCCTGGTTTTAGCGTTAAATCTCGACATTTAAAAAAAAACAAACATGTTTCACGGTAGAACTGCCTTGTCCGACTAGCAATCCGTGCTCCCAAAGGGAATTCGTACTAATTAATACAGAAAAACAACCAAGATATATAAAAGAAGCATACAAAATTAGATGCAATGCGAGGTAAAGTGAGGGATGCAAAACAAAAGGAAACGTTCGTGGACCTTTGGTTTATTAATGCTGGCAAATGGACTAGATTTATCACAGCTGAGTCGTGATCCCTACGGAAGATAATAAAATTTAAAAAAAAAGGAAAAATTAATAACTACGCCTATAGGAATCGTCACTTACGCTACGATTGGCAGCCGATTTAAAGTTTAATAAATTATATGACACTAGGAGAAAAACAACACAGAAAACGCTTAAATTTTTTTTCATGGTGCCGCGCGGGATCCGCGCAGATTTTTAGGGATCGTTAAGGACAAGTGGTCCAGGAGCAATGGATCGCTTGTACCAGGAGGGGAAAACAAGTAGGAAGAATAAGAAAAAGAAGAAAAAGAACCTTGCGAAGATTAAATAACTACTTACGCAAAAGCCTATAATCTAGAGGGTTCTTAGAATAAACGTGGTCGAAGATAAAGTTGGCGGAAACGTGCGAGATCAAATGCAGGCACCACAATTTGCTCAAAACAGATCCTCAACAGGAGTAGATTTCTTCCCTGGTAAACCAAAAGAACCTTGGCTCGACCACTGTATACCTTTAGCAACTTTAGCTACTTCTGTAAAAAGAAGTGCAAACCTAGAAGATTGTGGATATCAGCTGTAAATAGGAGTATGTGTGTGAGAGTCAGGAGTAGGCTAAGTTCTATTAGACTTTTCTGGACCATTAAGAAACACAACTTGTTAGTTGTCGAATAAACCTCGCGTAGTGTAGCGCAGACATTAGCAAACTCGGAAGTAAGCTACTCGTCGCCTTTGACTTGGACCCGTTTTCAGACAAGCGAAGCGTAAGTAATTCTCCAAGCAGTTGCGAGCAGCCGTAAACATTACTCGCTGCTTGCCAAGTAATTTGGAAATACTTTGCAAGTTTGCGTAATGAGTAACCGCCTTAAAGGCTTAAAGGGACTTGCCAAGTATTTCGTAAGTACTTGGTAATGTGTGTATGGCAGTTACTCAGAGTATACTTGCAGTTTCAATCGTTTATCGGAAAACGGATCAAAGGCGGCGAGTCGTTTATTTCTGAGTTTGTTTATGCCTGCGCTACACTACGTGACGTTTATTCGACAGGTAACAAGTTGTTGCTTTTGTTAGTGGTCTATAAAAGGTCTATTGCTTATCTGAAGCTTGAAATGGGGTAGGGACTCTCTTATGGTCTATAGGCAGTGGCGCTGCCTTGAAAAAATATGTATCCTTGCCCGTAAAACTCCTGTTTAAAGCTGATATCCACCACCTTCTAAGTTTGCACTTCTTCTATTTTTGAGTAAAAGATAATCACAATTTTCAAAAATATGTAAAGTTGTTAAAAATGTGGTATTTAAACTCTCGTTTATTTTTAAACAAGTACTTTTCCATCTGCTTACACTTCCCGAAACAAACTGAAACTTTCAAGTAGGCATGTTGTGTGTACAATTTATTTGGAGTACTTGCCAAGTATTTTCCAAGTCAAGTAACTTGGTAAATAATTCATTGTTACATTTGTATTAATAAAACCTAAATTAGACAACTAATCAACAGAGTTTGTCGATTTTTTAAAAAGAAGTTAAAGCAACAATCGGCTCAATAGCGCATGCATTAGCAACTTTAAGTAAGACGTATCCCTAAGAGCAGCACTATCTAACGATGCCCATGCTCATGTCATAACAATAATAAAATGTTTATTTGCAGTTCTTATTTACATGTATATAATAAAAGCAATAAACCGAAAGCACTGTGTAAAAAGGAACTGGAAAACAGTTTTAAAATGATCAAAGTCCACTTTCTAATTTCATAGTTAAACATGCTTAATAAGCAAAGAAATATGATTCAAAATGCCTATCTATAAATATCTTATTAACAGAAAGTCTACTTCGGCTTTTTTGGATGATAGATTGATTGATGTGGGCATCATTTTCTTTATGCTATTGGGAATAACATTATATCGCTTGTATGGAAAAACGGTATTAAAACTGAAAGATATAGATGTAATGAAAAAAATAAAACATAAATACACATAATAACCGTCAACATAAACCTACCATAGTAAATTGCGTTAAAAGAAAAATAAAACAGAAATACAAAAACGATTTCATTCATTAGAGACGAAGGCGCGAATATCCTAAATAAAGTCGCATTTTTCGGTTAACTGACACTGACAAGTGACTCATATTTCAGGTTGTTGATATTAACAACATTGACAACGATTCCCTCCCTAGTCGTATCATAACGCTTCACAGTAAATGTGCACAACACTTAAAAGCGAAAGAGGCATGTGTATAACTGTTAAAGCTGGAAGTATTTCGAGGTAGAAGTAAGGTCTTTTATAGTAAGATGTTTGAATTTGTTCCAGAAAATCAAAATATCTAGAAACCTAAATCTACGAATACTCTGAGGGGATTGCAATCAAGCAACTGGACCAAAAAGTAATCGAATGTATAGTGTGTTTACAAAGTATATTGTCTTGACTTTTGATTGATTCTCCTCCAAAATTTAATTACGACTTTCTTATCTATAGTTACTGGGTAAGCCCAACAACCAAAATCTCAATGGTAAGAGATAAGACAGGGGCGAGTCAGATAGATATTGACTACGTGTCGGCTGATATTAATTGCGAAAAATACTAAGGAGTCTTGGACCATCTTGAAGATACAAGTGCAAATATCTTTGAAAACCGATTTCAAAATTATCCTTTAAGAAATATTGCGGATAGTGTCATTGAAATGGATAACGCAACCTATCACAGCCGCCCGCTACAAAAAGCAACCAATTCATGAAGTACAAAAACTGGAATTCAAGAATATTTGTTGATATTTATTGTTATTTATTTAATGTTACTAGTTTAGGTCCAAGTGTAATAAATTTAATTATAAATGTAATTAATAACATTAAGAGTTGGAAAATTGTAGTACAGCATATTTTAGAAATTGAAGATTCTTACATTTGAATATAAAATAATAGAGCTTTGAAAACGGCCAAAGCTGTAATTGAAGGAAAATCTTTATATGAAAAGGCAAATGTAAAGAAAAATATCGGGACTGAAAACTATTACAAATACAGTCGAGCACAGTACTGATGAGGGATACATTAAGTAAGTCAAACTTTTCTCAAATATAGCTCGTGACTCGTGATGCGGGGAAGTAATTAAATCAAGGAATTTTAAGTTTAGGTTATGAATGTCAGTTATGTAGGTTATTTTATTTGCTAAATACTGTGGTCAATTTATTGGTATGAGAGAGTGAAAGAACAGTAAGGAGTGAAATTATCGTCTTTGCGCATTTTGTGCGACATAGTTGGTATCTCTTAATCCGCTACGCAGAGCGGAAGATAGGATTTCTGTACTTTCTGTACACGTAGGTGATCTTTCTGAAAAATCCGTATATTACATCCCAATAGCAAAATTACTAAGAACCTAAGCATCTGAATAAAGAAATTTTTGTTTTGTAGCAAAAATGTGCCTATACGGAAAGGGCAATTTTAGAGCTGCGAATGTCTTTCATACTCTTGCAACTGATATGCTCTTTGAATTACAGATCAACATTTATCACAAAAGCAAAGTTTTTTGAACATTGTACTAGTGTGGTGATCTTTGCAAACAACTAAACAATTCGTCAAGTTACAGGGGTCATTGTTGATATTGCGAACGCCGGCCTAGATAGCAGAAGTCAATGTCGGTAAATTGTATTAAATGATTTTGAAAAATCCAAGTTGTTTTCCCATTATCATTTAAAAATTTCCATACTTATAGTATTTGTAAAGCTACTCAATTTGAAATAATAAAAGAACACCGAACGTTTCAAGTTGTTATTGTTTGAAATGAATAGTTGAGAACCAAATTATTGAAACTTCATCCAGTTCTAAGGTAAGCAATGTTTTTTACATCTTTACAGTTTATTTGATTTTATCAGCGGATGTCAAAGTTGTGGCGCTAATTAGGCATGCGAGATTTTAATAAACGTCGTAATAAATTTTATGCAGCTATTTTTACACATAACAGGAGACTTGATTTTTCTACTATATAAATTATTAAGAAAGAATTTAACAAACAAAACAAAATGCTTTCACACCGTTCTTCTATATTTTTATTGGTTCCAGATTTAGAAAATAAGCACTTAAAGTGTAAGGTGTAAGGGTATTCTCTTATTATTTAAAAAAATTGGAAGAAAATGTGACTCTGTATGTATTACAGCCCAATTCACTTCAAAGTTGGAAAAAAGGGGAACTTTTCTTTTTTACTTTAATTCGTCTTGTCACAGTCACAGCTTATGAAAAGAAACAATAAATAAGTTACTGGCCTCGAATAAATACTACAAGTTTTTAATGCTCCATTAGCTAAAGGAAGTTTAACATTTACGTATTATTTTAAGTTATAATCGTGTATGTCTCATTATTGAAATTGAAATAAAATTTAAAAATACAAACAAAACTAGTCCCGAAATTTTTAGGTTGCTGTCTATATTCAAATATAATAGGCAAATGCGGAATTGAATATTAAAACGACCACTCTGAGAGACTTATGAGCTTTTAAAAGCAAAACGACTATATATTATCGATTCCGCACGTTCGATAACCTAATAGTATATTTTTCAAATTCGAGCAGAAAGTGGCGTTAAATTAAAAAATATCTAAAAAAGTTATTTGTAGAAATCATTTAGGATAGCATTCCAGAACAGCGATTATTCGAAATTTGGAACAGGAGCCGATCGCCCATTAAAAAATTTCCCATATGGCGGACAATGTATATATATTTTGTTCTTTGTTATGTTCGGTTGATGGAGACGGTCGAATATGTTGTTTTCTTTTGCGTTAAGTGTTTTGTAATATATTTGCCTGTCCCTTGTTCCTTTGTTCAGGCCCCAAATATCCTTTGAAAAAACGTTATCGTTTTAGAGTTAATGCCTTTTGATACTAAAAAGAAAAACAGGCAATTCTGCATAAACGAATATCGCATTCACCATTCCGTATCTTGAAAATCCCTTAATCCAGAATTATCAAGCAAATATTTTTCCTTCCTATCCAATCGATTTCCGTACATAACACCATCTATATTTGAGTTTAATATCAAGCTTATTTGCGAATGGCCTTAAATCAGTTTCACCGGCTTGAAGTAGGAAGTATCATAAAAAAGAAAACTCATGGTAATTTCTAATTACTGTATCTCTTTTCTAGATTTAATAACATGGTAATTAATTAATTAAAAGATTATGTTTGCTAGGTATTAAGTGCACCGGGAAATTTTTTTTTCTGAAATTATATTATAAAAAAATATTATAAAATTATTTTCTGAAACTTGGTTTCGGAAACTCTCATTGCAGAAGTAGTTAATTAAATTTAATTTGAACAATATTATTCTATATCTTCATATTCTTTTTTTTTTTTTCAAATTGTCAAAAATCATTTAAGAAACGTTTTGTTCCTACCTTGTCAATTTTGGGTCACATCGTTTTAAAAGTTGTTCCTTACACTTCTTTTGGTTTGTGTACTGGGGCGTTCTACTAACTTTGCATTGTTTTACTTTTTTTAAACTTAGCTTTTGTTAGTAGTGCCTTAAGCTAGATGGTGGTGGTATAAAATATTAACAGAACAATCTGAATTGTTATAAGATCTTTCCAAAATTACTGTATGCTAAATATT